TAGTATATATATAGTATATATATATATATATATATATATATATATATATATATATATATATATATATATATATATATATATATATATATATATATATATATATATATATATATATGTATAGAATTTCGCTTACCTCAAAATTCCGCAACAGTCTGTTTCATCAGTAAAGAATCATCAGGCGGTATGACAAGTTTCGAAAAATAGTGCTGCTTATATGTGTTTTGGGCTACTGAGCTACACGGTCAGACGGATTTAAGACTGGAAATTATGAAATTATTTCATAATTTCCAGTCTTAAATCCGTCTGACCGTGTAGCTCAGTAGGTAGAGCGTCGATCTAGTAATTCGAAGGTCGCGGGTTCGAGACCCAGCCGCGACAGACAACATCTTTCTGCTTGCGCTGGGTATGGAAATTATATAATACACACTCTAGAACATTTTCATCTTAACATATTACAGAGTGTACAATTACACAACTAACATATATATATATATATATATATATATATATATATATATATATATATATATATATATATATATATATATATATATATATATATATATATATTTACTAAAACTCTTCTTTTACGTTGGATGAAAAGAGAGAAAACTCTTCACTGGTTTAATAAACTAAAATTATTTAAGACCATTTTTGCTCCAACATGGCGATCTGATCATTCTAACATTTTCCCCATCGGGATCCAGTAAGGCTCGTACCGTATTAGACCAGTGCTAGGTAGGAAGAAACGGGAGTGCCAAGAAAATACCTGTAGTGTTTGGCGAGGGATAAATTACTCTGAAAATCTTCGTACACTTCGTCAAAAAATCTTTTAAAAAATCCCAAAATTTTACTAATTTTAATAAAAATCCCAGAATCCCAAAAAGTCCCACGAAATCTTTAAATATTTCAGAAAATACTCGGAAAAAGTAAGAATTTTTTTATCGGAGGATCGGGAGAAAAATGGCGACAAAAAGGTTTTTGGGTAAGTTTTGCATATTTATATATATTCGCTTATTTTACTTATGATTGTTCACTATATAAACTTCTGTTTTTATTAAGGCGTTAGGGAAAAGTTCGGCGGGAAAAAAAGGGAAATATTTCGAAACAAATCTTGAAAAAATCCCTGAAAATTGGAAACCCTCAAAAAAATTGCTGGGATTTTTTAATCCCAAATACCAAGAATCTTCGTACGCTTTTTTTCAGAGTAATTTACCCCTCGGTGTTTGGTAGAGTCAACTGGAAGCACTCTTCTCAGATGTAACTGAGCTGGGTAAAATAATAATTGCACAACTGCAAATTACAAAAAATTAAACGAGCGTCTAAATTAAATTGAGATCTGGTAATCATAATCTAAGAATTAAAACTGTCTTCCCAAAATCCCCGAAAATTTAAGAGTATGTCAAAATTGTGAATCCAAAGATATAGAAAATGAAACTCATTTTCTTCTCGAATGCACTCTTAATAAATCGAAAAGAGAAAACCTTTATAACGATATTATATTCTGAAATATTCTTATTATATTAATCTTAATAAAAAAGATAAATAGAGATTACTTCATGGTTGATGAGCGCGTACGATTTTTATGCACGATTTGCGAAAAATTCCTATAAACGAACGAGTGAGCGCAGCGAACGAGTGAGTTTATAGGAATTTTTCGCAACGAGTGCGTAATAAAAATCGTACAAGCGAATCAACCATGAAGTAATTTGTTTATTATATGAGTTATTATATATTAGAGTGAAATTTAAGTGCTGAACGATAGACACAATTCAAACCAAACGTTTCAAACATATATAATATGCATCAAAAAGTACAACAATAGCTACAACAAATGAATTATTTCGCTTTAAAATTCTTGTATTATTATTCTCCTGTTGTTCAATGAATTCGCTTATGAATGGTGTCTCTGCGAAGCCATTTCAATTAAATCAAAAGTCGAACGGACATCTAAAAAAAGTGATTGTTGTTTTCTTGTACGCCAGTGGCGCGGCGGGAAAAGTAAATACGAAATTTTTCACTAGTGACAAATTCCGTACGTCCAATGAGAAGGCTAATAGTAATACGACGTTCTTCACTAGTGGCGAATGTCGTATGTTCAATGAGTCCTCAGAAATTTTAGGCATATGGTTTTTATTCGACAACTTTATCGCGTATAAAATTCAATACTCATATAATAAAATATACTCTTCCTTTTGATAATATTGACCCATTTCTATGTAAAAAATTAGCGCACTTCATTTATGAAGCCTTTCAAACAAGAAAACATTGATTTTAGTTAGTCTTGTTATAGTTTATATGTAAATAATTGGGTCTTTTATTTTATTTGTATTGTATGCAATACCATCAATGTAAATGGAATGCAATAAATAAATGTTAAATGTTATGGGCCAGTATAAACAGAGATGAAAAATTCATGTATTGTAGTAACCACTGTCATACCAATACTTCTTTAGAAATAGCCAAGTCACTATATATATTTCCGCCCCTTAGTTTTAAGAAAAAGTCCCTGATGCAAAATCCCTCAGGAAAATTGATATTTAATAGTTGAGTTTTCTCGCTTGAAACAGACCATAGCAAGTGAACGCGTCTTGTAGCAATGATTCTGTAATAGATCTAGAGTTGGAATAGGTGGGATGGAAATAGATGAAACTCTAAAATAAACTAACTTTATTTGTACCGTATATTCTAATACTTAGATTCTTGATTAAAATAGACAATTATAGACGTATAGTACTTTCAAAAACCTTACAATAATTTAGTACAGTGTGTACTGCTCGTGATACTGGGAACCAAAAAGGTCGTTACTTGCTACTAGCATTCCCTAAATCTGTGTTGATTTGCTTAACAATTAATTATTTTACCTAAAGTAAACACTACATGACATGTTAATGAGATCATTCTAGCTGTTCAGTGAATAAGATGTCGGTAATCCGCACAGTTCCAGCAAAAAACTTCATACCCTTGATTAAACTTGCCACAAAGTTTTTCCTCTGTTATAATTTCACGCTACCTGACACCAATATTGTTGCGGTCATGTTTACCGGTTGTTTTCCTGGAACTCCACGGGGCGGCTATTGTATTTGCATGTTTGAACTTGCATTAATTTATTCCTGTTCGCATCGATGGAATAAGCTCAGTATTTTTCAGCTAATTCAAATGTTGAAGAAATAAATTCCCAGGTAGAATTTTTCAGGAGGAATGGCAGTAATGTGAGTACAGAAATGTCATAAATACTGCGTATTTTTCTTTTACTTTTCATTGTCAATGAAATGTCATTTATCGTCTATGACTATGCAAATTATTAAAGACGTGTTGTGTAAATCTTTTATTATTATTACACAACTTTAGGCCAGATAAAAAAATGTTAATAGTTGGTTAGCGTCCTTAGCTTTTGCCAAAAAGTGGCCGTACGGGCGGTTTTTTAAAAAATTTATACTAATTTTTAACGCCTTGGTTTTTAAAGGTCCGAAACTGGATTTTCTTCATACCGTCATTTTCGAACGCTTTACTATTCTAGAACAAGTTTTATTAAAGATTTACTATATTCAAAATTAATATCTTGCATATTTAAATTTATTAACACAATTGACTACAGAAATACTACATATATTAGAGCTCGTTGATCAATAAAAGCTGCATGGTTTGTTTTTTTTTAAATAAAAACAAAAAAAAATCATAAGCGGGGCCTTTTTTGTGGGCGGGCGAGGACGCTAACCAACTATATTTATTTTTTTATGTGGCCTTACAGTTGCCATCTCTTTTCTTTTATAGCTGATGTCGTGATGAATGTATCCAAGTGTAACTTGTTGCCTAGAACCTGAAGATATTTTTTCAGGTAAGTTATTTTCTTCGAGTCTTATAGACATGTTTACTTCCGCCAGTTCAAAGTAAAGTATAATAAAATGTCGTAATACTTGGAATACATTGGCCAAGCTGTTTTATAAGATATAGTACCTGTTGGATCTTTCCCTAGAAGCCCACAATGAAAAATGTGAGATTCAACACTTTCCGGCTCACATGCATGAAGAGGAATTCATAATTTAGTACTGCGTGTATTATTAGTGTGTTTACATGCATTCATCGCTCGATATTCTATCATCTCTCTTTAATTTGGCAAGACAGATAATAGACAAGCTTAATATTAGTATAAAAATTCTCTTAAATATTTTGCTTGGTATTAGTGTATCCGCGGAAGTTTTTATATAGACGTGGGATTTTTCACCAATTCCAGTACCTACTGTGATTATACGGCTCCCTGTGGGCAAAGATTAAATGAGTTTTTCATGCATTGATAAGCATTTAAATATTTGACGGACAATACCCAAAGGACTGTTTACTCTGACTGTTTCGATGAACATTTTCCGACAAAAGATAAAGCGCAGTTTACATTGTTCCAAGGAAGAAAAGGAAAGATCTACACTTTCGCTACGTGTCAAACATGTCGCGCATTGGGGGGCCATGCTTTGGCTGAGCGAACAGGTTTGAACATGGCTTGTAGGTGTGTAGTGGCTGGTTTACACTTGCAATTTTTGCTACGATTTTAGGTGCGATTTCTTCTGATGATGGATGTAAACCACTGTAAACGAGTGGATGAGTTATGAATGTTCAGATGAAGGTACATATTCTCACAACATTCATAACTCATCTACTCGTTCACATCCACCACAAGAAGAAAATCTCGCTAGAAATCGTAGCAGAATTTGCAAGTATAAACAGGCCTTCGCAATTTCTGGTTCACCTTGCCCTTGGTGGTCGCGCGCATGCCATGAAGGTCAAAGAGCTATCCTGACGTGTCCACGCGTGACTAATCACTCTCTTAAAGGCTGATTTCCACTGTTGCATTTTTCGTACGCACGTAAAACTTTGAATCCTTCTATTTTTTAAATATTTTACAAATAAAAATTTTTCTGTGTTGGTTTTGTGTACTCAGGTGAATAATATGTTTGTGATGTTACTCTGAGTGCATATCCACACCGGGCGAGCTTGAAAAATATGCCCGGCCACGGTGGGATTCGAACCTACGACCTTTGGAATAGTAGCCCAATGCTCTTCCAACTGAGCTACGCGGTCAGGACGGTTCGAGTAAGTGATATTTCGGAACAGTATCTAGTTCCTTCAATACCAATGTGTTCTTGTAATATGAATTTTTTCTGTGTTGGTGTTGTGTACTCAGGTGAATAATATGTTTGTGATGTTACTCTGAGTGCATATCCACACCGGGCGAGCTTGAAAAAGCATTGGGCTTGGAAAAGCATTGAGCATTGGGCTAGTATTCCAAAGGTCGTAGGTTCGAATCCCACCGTGGCCGGGCATATTTTTAGAGTAACATCACAAACATATTATTCACCTGAGTACACAACACCAACACAGAAAAAATTCATATTACAAGAACACGTTGGTATTGAAGGAACTAGATACTGTTCCGAAATATCACTTACTCGAACCGTCCTGACCGCGTAGCTCAGTTGGAAGAGCATTGGGCTAGTATTCCAAAGGTCGTAGGTTCGAATCCCACCGTGGCCGGGCATATTTTTCAAGCTCGCCCGGTGTGGATATGCACTCAGAATAACATCACAAACATATTTTACAAATAAGTTAACAAATGCGTACTAAAATTTGCGGAACACTAAATTCTGTTGCTTTATTTATTTGGTTATTTCATAAGTAACATCTAAACGGATTTCAAGTTTTACGTGCGTATACGTACATATGAAAAACGCAACAGTGGAAATCAGCCTTAAGTCACTTTGGGGGAAACCGCTGATCGAAGTGGAAGACAGTCTGATAGGGGTATCACTGCAGTTTAACGACATTAACTAATGAATTACGAATATTATATCAAAAGTACAGCCTCTTCTATATGCGTCAGTTATCTTGTTATTCACAATAATATAAAACCTGCATGTCTTCGACCTTTTCTAATCTTTTGTACTGTTTCATTTAAGCGTTTTACATATTGAAGTTACAAGATGGAGTTGCCATTCCAATTACTTGTCAAGAGCTATGTTCACGGCATCATACGTCGAGCTCAGGGGGTATGTCAGTCAGCTACATTTTCACTGAGACTTTGAAAAACTTTGGATAGAAAGTCGATGATAAACCTAGTGGTGGATTATAATCACGCTTGCCCTTAGTATGGACACGAAAATCTGCGCGCAGTCGTGCAGCATAAAGCCGGTTACAGACGAGCAAGTTTTCTAGGAGAAGTTTACACTTGTTCAAAAGCTAGTATGCTATACCTAGTACAGTATGCTAGCTGGTATGTTAGCTAGTACAGGGCCGTACACAGCGTGGGGGCAGGGCGGGGGGCAACTGCCCCTCCTAGAGAAAACTATATTTACGATTTTTGGAATATCATTATTAATTATTCTTTGGATATTTGGGACTTTTTTCGGCATATAGGCCTTACTTCCCCCCTGGTGAAAAAATCCTGCGTACGGTACAGTACAAATTTCGTTCGTTTCAACAAAGAAAATTTGGCAAAGTAATTTGAGCAATTGCACTTTTGCACAATGACAATGCTATCGTGGCAATCAGAAAATCAAAAAGTTGACATAGAAACTTTGTTGTACGTAGACACATATGAAAATTTGTTACAGAAAACTTGCTCGGCTGCAACCAGCTTAAAACTCCAGTATATTGTACATGCATGTTAATCTTTTTCTTTTTAGGTTATGAGTCCGTTCGAAATGCTTCAATTCTCTGAATGTCGAAAAGGAATTAAGCAGGGACTGGAAACATTCGAAGTACGTACTCATACAGTATTTATGATAAGAAACTAACTTATCAGTATGGGCAGTCATGATAGCTAAACAATTAAGCCGTCGGTTAGTAGCAGACGCGTAGCCACGGGGTGAATGGCCTGACCCCCCCGTTTTTCTTCAGACCAAATTTCTAATTCTTCCAAAAGTGAGGAGAAACTGGGACGGGGCTAACCTCTTAATGTTTTCATCTATGGCATAAAATGCACCAAATCTGTGGCTTTTAGGCTATCATCAACGTGTCTAAAATGTACGAGAAAACGTTTCGCAGACCTTAAAGATAAACTAAAATTTCCAAGGTCCGACCATGCCGACCGGCCGGACGATTCGAACCCCCTCCCCCCACTCGTTAGCAGGTGTATAACAGTTGGTTAGTTGGTGTAAAATGTGGTTTCAGATGCCACAGTTGTTTAAACAATATACTGTATCCATCGTTTAGCAAGTGTGAAAAATGGTTACATATGCCACATGTGTATTAGGTGCCTCCTCAATAACAGAGTGTTTAATTTGTTGCAGTGGTTGCTTATGGGCTTCGATGGGCATGTTATCAATGTGGTCATGCAAATGGGTGATAGGTTTTTAAGAGACGGAAATGTCCAAATGGCTCTGGAATTTTACCACGAAGCCAGTCATATGTTTCCTCACGCTGGTATTTGCTATATTAAAGAGACACAATGTCATGTTGTACTGGTTAGTATAACGTTGTACTCACAACATTTACCGTGTAATGGTGGCTTACTTAAATAATCATATACCACGTTGTTTTATGGCTTTTTCAATAGTTGTTTGTTGTACTGCAATATCCTTTTCAAATTTTAATTTCAGAAATGTTTTGATCAAGCAAAGACAGCGTGTAGAAAAGGTGAATATATTTTTGCACTTGGGAACGTAAACTCAACCATGCTAAAGCAAATAATGAACCATATCCTTTATTATAGCAATTCGCCACAGTGACGACAGCGATTTCAACCAGTTATATTCAATTATTGATATGTTTATCGAGAATAATAGGTTGCAGGAAGCCTATGATCTTTATGTAATTCTGATTGAAAGGTTTCCACACGTAAGTAAACTGATCTTACATAAATACTATATACATAGTATAAGAAGAAGCTGGGGTTATTGTCACTGTTGATAGTCGAGCGCCTACTGTGAAGATATTTAATGACTTGATAGGGGACCCAACATTGAGCCCTGAGGAATTCCATGAGGAACAGACGACACAGATGATTGCTTATCACCAAACACAACAAGACTTAGTTCGTGTCTATCCATTAAATATGATTTAAACCAGTTCAGTGAGCTGATAACAAATAATCATTTATTGGAAATTATTAATTTCTAAAGTTGTTGCCAGGAATCGAACCCAATGGTTTAACTCAAGGTGCTGGTGCTCTGATTGTGCACTACATGACCTATTGGGATGCTGATTGAAATGTTATTGAATATTGATAGTATAAATCATAAAAATAATAGATATCTATTTTCTGTATGGTATAAATCCACATACACGTCTTACTGACCGACTGATCCGTGTACTCATATGTTAACCATAGTGATGGTAGTAATGTAAAATGAAATAATTTTGATGTTTTTAGCATTATCAAGTCCTGCAGATAGTGCAAGAATTAAAAGTATTACTTAGAGACAAAACTGAAGAAAACCAAAAGAAAAAAGTAAGAGGTTGACATATGTCATGATTTACATTTCATATCACATTTTTGTCACGTGATCGCTTTTATATTCTTAGTGTAAATGTAATTATTCTTTTCACGTCTGTAAAACAGGCTGCTTCCCTAACTCGAGCGATTGAAAATTTCCCTCCTTTATATTTTAATCCAACCTCAGATTCTTCAATTTGGTGGACCGAAACAACCCATTAGTTACTCTAGATACTAATAAATTGTCTTCTTTCCATCGTTGAAAGCGATATGGCAGTCGTTTACTAATGATCTGTTTCACAAGCATGCAAAGCAGTTTATTACTTAATTAGAATGTACTATGTAAACTATGATTTGTTAATTAAAATTTCTTTCAACTTTCTACTATTGATTTGTTGATGTGTAGTGGTCAAATGAATTTCTATGTTACATATTAAATTTATATTCGAATTTCGTATGCAAGTAAAACAATGACAATGCAATGTTTCTCTTTTGCGTCTTATGTAAATAATTAGTTGGGTTGGCCTGACATATTGTCAGACATTTTCAGATTTATATTGAACTCTGACTGTAGAATGCGAGTAAAGGCCCAAGTGGAATAAAGACAACGACTAGCAAGAACATCGGTCAGACAAGTAATGAGGTAATCATGAACAGTCTGTCCCAGTTTAGATATAATGCAGTTTAGAAATAATAAGATGACTTCAGATTAATACGGATTGCATCTCTATCAATCCGAAACGTCCTTAGTGATGGGGTAATCGTGAACAGTCTGTCCCAGTTTAGGTAATAATGCCAATAATAAGAGCTTCAGATTGATAGGGATTGCATCTCTATCATTCCAAAACTTCCTTAGTGATGGGATAAACATGTTGGACATTTCAAAAACAAAAATACTCTTTTGTTAAATTTAAAGTCTTCATATATTTAACCTCTTTGATCTATCACGCGCAGAAAAGGTTTTTATCGGATGTTTTGTTTTTTCCTCTGTAGAAGTTAGGTGAAGCTTCTGGTGGAACTGACCCAAGTGAAACAGTGGATATTGGTCAAAATGCTGCCAGTGCCAAGGTATATAATAATTCTTAGTATTGTTAAATAGTATTTGTTAATCACTCTTGTTTATTAATTATGTATACATGTAAAGCCCGCGAATCAAACGAAGAGTGCATGAGAGTTGGCAGTCACGCGACTTTTGTTAGCTTTTCTTAATGTTTTCCCAACATTATGTATTCTATTTAAGTTAAAACGTACTTAACACTAATCAAATCTTTATTTTGTTAATCTAGAGCTTGAAATGTTTCGTGTAACAATACGTGACTGCCATCTCTCCCTCTCGTTTGACCATGGGGCTTACAAATGAAAGTGTCAGTTTGTTTTTTGAATTTTTATATTTCCCGACTTAGGTTAAAACTACTTACTTAATGCAATCTATTCGTTTGATTATCATCTTGAATTATCTAGGTTGTTAAGACATCGAAACAATTGAAAAGGGAACAAATGGCCAGGGAGAAGGTAACGGATGCAGCTCTAATTTCCAGTTCAGTGTTTGCTTATAGTGTATCTTTAGTTGTGTTTAGTTATTAAATAACTATCCACATGTATTTATTTATTTAATGAGTGCGTCTTTTATAAATTGCAGGAAATTCAA